TCAGTAATTTACCTATTACTGGAGTGAAGCAAATAATTTAATATTCCCAGAGGCTTTTAAATTAATATAGCGTTTTCCTTTTAGAAAGTTAAGGTTAGTATAACATATGCAATAAATTACTTATGCAATATTTTGCTTGTGGGTCATTAAAGCCAGATCAAGACTAGTGTTTTACAAACTTCTCTGCTGATGTTAACAGATGCCTCTGGAGATCCTGATTCAGCATGCTTGGAGTGGAGTCCAAGAATCCATCTCTTATAAGCATGCCAAGTGATTTCATCACCAAACAAATTTGGGAAATACTAGTCAACATGTATATTGAAGTGACATAAGATGTAAATAAAAGCATAGCTCAAACTTATTGGAAGTTTAAGTATAATTTAAGAATTGATTGTTATTTTTAATAAACCAAATATTCAAAAATTTAGAAAATAATCATTTGAAATTTCATAAAATCCATGCATTGTATGAATCAGGATATAGATGCATCTTTATATGGAATGCTATTCGGTGTGTTCTAGTTTTCAATGATATCCATTTGTCTCTTTCACTGATTCATAATCACATTATTTAGGTGCCTATTTTTAAGAAGTGTAAATAGATGTGCATTAGAGAGATCGACTAGGAAAGCGGAAACCCTGAAAAAGAAAGCAGAAGAGAACTAGACAGAAAACAGAAGATGCAAAGGAATAACATGGTAAAGGATTTAAGGGAAAATACAAATGCAGGAAAAACAACACTGACATGAATATTGGGCTTAAGGGAATTTTATTTCATAATACAATTGATAGAAGGGTGAAGAAAATAAGACAAAAGGAAGAGATAAGCAAAAGTATAAAGAACAGGGATAAATAAGAGATTTCCATTTGGGGCCTCTTATTTATTAACTAATTTATTGGCTGAAAAGTCTTATTAGGTGATAGAGTCAGGATTCTTCCTTTGTTGTGAAAGCTGATAAAACCTAACTCCCAATGGTCAGCAGCATCTATCATTCTAAAACATAAAGAAATAGGTCCTAATGAAATATTTCCTGAAATGGGTCTTCTAGAACAGTACCTCTATAAGAGCTGCATAAAAAAAAGGTTACGCAGTGGAATAAATATGGAGGGCGCTGCACATGACACGCTCATGGCATGCTCCTTGAAGTTGCCCAGGAAGAGCAAGGGGGCCCTGCAAAGTCCCGCAGAGATTTGTTCAACTCACTTTTTAATTCATCATTTTCCAAACTTATATAGCCACAGGATATGTTTTATCACTTCTCATCTTATTAAAATCCCATAGAATCAGTGAAAAGAGAGGGTGGGCTCAACATAAGAAAACCTGGATTTGAACTTTTACTCCAACATTTAGCTTCACTATCTGGAGTGAGTTACTTAATAATGACCTTGAGCCTTAGCCTCTCCATCTGTAAAATGGGTTTAATAATGTAAAGTGATTAGCATAACATCTGCTACATAGTAAATTTTGGATTAAGTACTAGTTATTTTTTTTTTAATCATGAAAGCAAAAAGTTTATTCATGTTTGAAACGACATATAACTACCACGAGGAAGACTTTTTCTATCCAGGGTGTAATACAGTTAGAAAGGAACACGAAACGTTTTTTAATACATTAGTGTTATTAGTGTTCTACAGAGCATATTCTGGGACACATAAGGTCATCTTAAGCTTTCTGTCAAATTATCAATATAAAGTATGTGTATTAAATCATGCCATCACTCTTACGACATCCAGAAGAAATTTATTTTCCAGTCAAAGAAAACATGAAAGTTTTTTTATTCCCCCTCCTCCTTTTCTTTTTAGTTAGGCAATTTCAAATCAAACCAAGAGTCAGAAGTCAGTCACATCAAATAAAGGCTAGTGATTTGCGACAAAGAGGTGTCACAAGCAATAGGATGTAGTATGGATACGAATTGGTCTTGGGTCAAAGATAACCACTGTCTTAGTCTGTTCAGGCTGCTATAACAAAAATGCCATAGAGTGGGTTACTTAAACAAGAAACATTTATTTCTTAGAGTTCTGGAGCTGGGAAGTCCAAGATAAGGCACTAGCAGATTCAGTGTTTGGTGAGAGCCTGCTTCCTGGTTCATAGATGACCATTTTCTTGCTGTGTCCTCACATGGCAGAAGGGGAAAGGGAGCCCTCTGGGGCCACGACCTAATCACCTTCCAAAGACCCCACCTCCAAATGCCATCACATTGGGGATTAGATTTCAACATATGAATGTGCGGGGGACACAAACATCCAGTCTACAGTAATTCTTTGTAAAATGAAGTTGCCTTTTGGAAAGACAGAACTCTCACTGGCCAATAAGTCTGTGCTCATGCCAGACACAACAGTAGAATAGGTGAAACCTGGTTTTTGTGCCCTCGACCATCCCATTCAGAGTGAAAAATCTTTCCATTACATGCCCTGCTAACCCTAATCACATACTAAGGGTCCTAATGGTCTGTCATCTCTCCATCCATATGGATTTCAGGGAAAAATCTAAAACCTCATTCATACAATGGGGTTACTACTCCAAGTTATTTGCATTCTAACATTCTTCAAAGTCTTAAGTCTGAGTAACCTTTAAAAGTGAAATGTCAAGAATTTGCTAAGAAAGTGTGGGTGAGTGGGAAGGCCTTCCTAGATCTCTTAAAATTGCTTCTGTGGAAAGTAGACTCTCAAAATTTGACGATGTGTCTCCTCTTGTTCTAATTAATGTTTGCTTTCTAAGGGTAAGTACAAAGTCCTTTATGCCCTCCTGGCCATTTCTAGCCCATTATTTAAGCTGTACCTGTTTTTAGTCTCATCATTGTCACCATAAGTTACATTAAGCTGGAGAACCTCCCTCAATGAGTTATCACTTGGTGCTAAGTCTGGGCTTCCAGGTGACCATGCCAAGGAAGAGTGATTCGACCCACTATCAACAAAATTAATTTAAGATTATCTCCAAAACAAGAAGTCATTACCAGTCATTGTCCCATCTTTCAGAGAGATCGCAGTCCCATCCCATAGGCACACTCTGCCCGGGAGTACTGAGCACATTCTCTCCACAACTGAAAATCTTGTTCCCTATTGCATCCACAGGGCCTAAGGCAGTTCCTAGAACATCATTTAACAAGCATCCGCAAATGCTTGTTGAATGAATGAATGATGAATGAACAAATCACTTTTTCCATTCTCACTTCAACTTGTCGCCCACAGCGCTGGGCCAGTCCTAAAGTCTATTATCCTGAAGACTTGACTCTGAAACTTACCGCAGTCTAAGAAGACAGGAGTAGGAAGAAAACATAATGTCCCATCCTCAGCATCCCAACACCAGAAATTGCAAAAGGGTCTGCTTCATCAAATGATGCTCCAGATCTTCTGATAATCGCCCAACGACTGAAAATCTTTTCTAAAACATATGTCACATCACATTTCAAAACATTATTTTGGTTGTATCACTAAAATTGTGGCTTAATTTATATTGAAATAAAGTTATAACATACCTTTTTATCAAATTCTTTTGTTGTTCGCCCAATTAAAAAAATAGACTTAACTGCCTAGTTGATGTATAATTGCCAGTATTACTATGGAAAGTATGATGTTCATGCTGGCACCCAGTGGGCAGTTTTTTAGGTGTGAAGTTGTCCTATCACATTTTATTTTAAAATAAAAAAATTAGTTCTCACTTCATTATCAAGGCCCCTATTGACTCATTATACTAAGGCCAACAAACTTCACTGCTCTGGTATTTAAATGGCATATACTGAATGTCACCCATATGGTTCCTGGGCTCACATTTCAATGACCTAATGCTGTTTGTAATACTAGTTTCTTAAGAGCTCCATTACACTTCACCCATAATTATAGACATGCTATTCAAGGTCATACTACTAAGAAATCTTCCACTCAACCCAAAATTCATAGAACACTATTGGCAACGATCTGCCTAGTGAAGGATTTGTGGGGTGCCTAACAGTAAATTAGAATGGTCTGCAAATTACCCCTTTACTTAGGAATACAGCAGGTAGAGCACACAGCTGTGGTACGGGAAGTGTAGGAATCAATCTTATGAGCTCCTCCTCCCACACTCATTTTATTGTTAATCCTAGGATCACAGGTTTAATATGTATTTGTTCAAAGATTGAGTAATTCGCCTGTGGATGACGTAAATGAGTTACATTGAGTTACGTTCTCTTGTGTAGTTCACCAACTTCCCTTATTGCTTTGCATAACTTTCTTATACATAGGTATTCCACCCCCCACCCCACCCCCGATTAATGCATTTAACCTCTTCAATTGATATGTGACGTTCTCTCTTTTAAATGACACTATTTTTTTCGTCCATCATATCACCAAGGAAAATCACCAAGGAATGCAACTGAACATGACATTAAGCTCCCTAAGAGCCAGAACCCTGTCCACCACTATCTTCCTTGAGTATATCCTATATCTGGCACACAGGAAGTACTCATTGAATAAGCATTCATGAGTGTATGAATGAATGAATGAAAGAAAGAAAGAAAGAAAGAAAGAAAGAAAGAAAGAAAGAAAGAAAGAAAGGAAGAAAGAAAGAAAGAAAGAAAAACAAAATTACTGATGCTATAGGCCAAAAGAAAACAGGACAGAATATTATTCTGAAATAAAAGGCCTTGGAAGAAGACTGCATGGTGTATTGAATGAACAGATTCCTTACCTATAACACTGAAGACATCTGGATTTGTTGTGGGGAGTGACTGAAATAATTAAGTGAAAGCTCCGTGGAAATGGTAAAACACGACTCAGAGAGAGTGTCTTGAACATGACAATGAACTGTGAGTGAAATAAACTAAAGCTAGAAATTAAGCAATAGCACAAAATTGCAGCACTCACGAGGTCAACCCCAGAGTAGGGGTGCAGTTTGCATTTACTGAATGAATTCCTGGCCCTGGTTTGGGCCTCAGAGAATGGAGATGGGTGAAGGACATCATTGAACTTGGGAATCTGGAAGGAAAGCATTTCATGACAAAGAACCTACAGATACAGAAGCACTCTTTTTCTCAATTTTATTATTAGATATTAAACCAAAAATACAGAAAATAACATTTACCCAGATTATGAAGTTAAGAGCTTTTAAGGTTAAGCCATTATGGTTAAGGTTCATGCCCAGAGGAAATGAGTAGAGGTCAATTTCCTTTGGTTTTGTGGTTCCTTTCCAAAAATTATTCTAGACTATTCACCATTCCCTGTGAGGTTACAATTCAAATTAGAGACTTGTAAAATGGCAAGTGGCCAGAGTACAGAAAAAATAAACTGAATTACAGGTGACCCTTTTCCAAATCAGGGCATGCACGTCTGCATTCTAATCCTAAAAAAATATTCTGATATGTAGGCATTCTCATAACTTAGTGAAATTTTAGAAGAATGCACTTACTATGAAAGTCAAGGCAAAACTGTAAGATATTTGTTCAAAATTCTACCAAGAGTTGTTCGCCATTTCAGAAAATCATATCTAATGATAACACTGATGTTGCCAACACAACACACATTGATCTGCATCATGATCCACATTCAGGTGCAAGCACAAGATGACTTAATTTTATCTTCTAGGATGGTTAGACCGAAGCTTTTTAACTGAACTACATTTTATTTTATTAAAAACTGCTTTTTTTCTGCTTAACATTAGAGTACTGTACCATTTCAAAGTATATATGCAACATAGATCATATTAACTTCGAATTTCATTTCAGAATAGTGAGAATAAAATATTCGTTTTAAAAGGGAGCTCTGAGTCTGCGAGGGCTGAGAGGACCACTAAGCTCATTCAACCTCCTCACTTTCCAATGAAACTAAGGCTCAGAGAGGTGAAGTAACTTGCTCAAGGCCGCAAATGAAGGTGATGACCAAATCAGAAACGGAGCTACCTGGACACCAAGTTCTCCTTATAGCACATTGCATTGCCTCAATGTGGCGACAACACAAATACACAGAGGGAGAAAAATGACCTTCACACTTCAAAATAAGTTAGTGACCCGTTGACCCAAGGGGCAGAGACTGAGATGGTCTCTCCCTCATCTTTATCTTCCATCACAAGGGACAAAATGCTTTAGAGAAGTTTGGGATTTTTTCACCTGCAAAGCCTCGGGTGCCGGTTATGGCACTAAGCTGGTACAAACGGAGCTGTGGCCAATTTAGAGTTTCTCTCTCAAAGGCTCCCAGAGAAAGTCCCTTTGGCAAGGCTTGTTTTAAGGCTGGCTTTAAAGTAAAAAAATATAATAATAAATAAGCAGAAAAACTACTACTTATCTTGAGAAAGCCACATTCCGTTATTATCTTGAACTTTCAACAGTACTTCACAGGGAAGAAATCGAGGGATGTATGTTCAATTTAAAATCAATAAATGGTGCTTTAGGCCTTGAATTTAAGTATTTTAGTCAGATAGAGCTCTTAGGATGTCTGAATTTGTAAACAACTAGGTGGAATAGGTAAAGAGCATTTCCCATGTAGCTTTTATATTCAACATGTACATTAAAACCATCTGAAATCTTCCCAGGAGATAAACACAAGGTAATCAACATTTATCTCAAAGCTGGCTTCTCTCCAAATCACTGCTTTGCATTTAGACTAAAGCAAGAAAATTCTCTCAAGTAAGTAGCTTTGACACACGGCACTCAACTAAACCAAACTGAGTACTCAATGTAGAAAAAGAGAAGCACGACAATGAACTACAGTGTGTTAAATCATCATCATCATCATCTACTTTAGCCTGAAGTCACTGCTACCACTATGCTTTCCCCACTCTGAGATTAGGGACGTCTTCCAAACTTTAAAAGGAAATTAAAACACCAATATTATTTTCAAGTTAAAGCTAATACCAGCAATGATAATTATGATCAATTCATAAACTAAAATGACTCCTCTTGTCTTTTGGACTCAGAATGGTACAGGTTTTCCATTTTTGTTCATATAGTTGCTATAAAAGGGCCTAGTACTTGAGCATGAAAAACCTGAACCTGTCTAATAAACTCTGCTTCAAATGAATATGATCCTAAACACCTAGGCAATCGTTTTTATCAAATTAATGGAATCTGTATCTATAAAATAAAATAAAATGCAATATATCTGAAGTTACAAATGCACTAAGCCAAAACATTTAACTCTCTGTGTGGAGTGATACACAGAATTGCCTTTTCACATTATCTTAAGTGAGGTCTGAGGCGACACTCAGGTAGATGGAGGCACTGGGGAGGCTGGCTGTTGCAGATGTTCTGTGGCAAAGGAACACGTCTGGTGGTTTTAAAATCCTAGGAAGAAAAATAAACAGTTCATTATTATAGTCATTTTCTCAGAATTTCTTTTGGGAGGACCTAAATGAAAGTAGGGTAGTTAATCTAGGTTTACATCAATAAACACCTCTCAATTCTAAGCTCCTTCTACATCAGTCAGGTAGCATCCACCCAGAAATGGAAGGTGTGAGGTGGAGGTAAAAGATGTTCCCTAGGAGGCAAAACATTCATTTTGCTGCACAATGCTGAGTACTAAAAAGAGCATTAAAAAGCAGAAAACTGTTCCATCTAAACCATCTCACTTACTTGGCAATCCACATCTTATTGGAGAAGGGCTCCGGCTTCGAGATATCTAGAAAATATAAAAGTGTCATGTGAATTACACAGCAGATGGAGCTCAGTGAATGAATCCTTTTGATGTTTGTTTTTTTTTTTTTTACAAAACCAGCTAAATGTTGCTCTGAGACGCTTTAGAACTAGAATTTTTCCCCACCTAAAGCTTAGCATTGCAATTCCTTTTTTACTTCCCGAAGTAAATGAGCACTCGATTTAATTTCAATTACATTATTAATTAAAAGCTGGGCTCAGTGGCCCAGTTTGTGTTGCTTTTGTTGTTGTTTAATGGTTACTAAAGACTTTGAGATTGGATGCAGAGTGGTCATATCACATTCAAAGCTTTCCAGAAAATTATATGATCTAATTAAAGCTAAAATGATCAAATACTGTCTGTCAGATCCTTTCTATGAATTTTCTAATGTGTCCAAAATACTGCCATATTCAGGAGGGTCATTAGGCAGCCAGAAAAAAAAAGTCATTTTTCAAATCTCACCTTCACTTTCACTAAGCAAAAGCTACCACCTATACCCACAAACCTGTTGCAACTGAGAAATAACTGACTACAAGCATCATTCTTGCTCTGAGCTTTTAAACACTTTAGATACATAGACACTAACAAAGACAGAAGCTGTTTTGAATGTGAGACCTCAAATAAGCCAAAAAACCAGACTAACGAAAAATATTCGTATTTTATTTTGCAGGTGTGCCAGTCTTATAAGGAGACAGTGGTAGAAAGGGACAATTTGGGCAGCAGTTTCACCTTTGAGAATATATTTTATTCTCATCTAAAGTTTAAATTAATTTGTTTTTCCTGGGCTCAAAGTGGGAAAGAGAGAGGAGGTGGTTCAAACACGTGTAGGGGTTTATTACAGAGGGACAATGCTCATTAACAACCTTCTAGTGAGCATCCAGGTGAAATATTTGCCATGGCTGTAAGCACAATGGATGTCTAAATTACTCTTTCTTCTGATATGTCACTTCCTCTTAAAATGAGAATTATGATTCTTCCAGTATAAAACTCAAGATTTCCTTTTTATCAGTCCACTAAATGTACTACCATTTTATTTTTATGTATTAATACTTATTCATGAATAAGGACAATTAAGTTATATTAAAATCTCCAAGAGCAAAAAAAAGCTGTGTCAGATACATGCTTTTTCCATTGTCAGGCCATTTCCTTCATCTGGATTTTCCTCTCGAATTTCCCAGCTCATTGAAATTCTGCCAGATCAAATCCAACTCCTGCATGAACCCCCTCACTGCCAAATCCAGAAGGAATTTCTACCTCCTCTATGCCTCTTTGTGCCTCTTTTGTAGACTGTATAATATATCACATTCAGTTACTTTGCTTAAATCATATTAAATTTCTTATTTTGAAACCCATTCAGGGAAGAGACCATATTTTAGTCATTTTTGTGTCCCGCACCATCCCCATTCCCCTTCACCCCCCCACCCCCGCAAAATCTAGCATCTAGATACAGGAAAAAAAAACATTTGATAAAGGAGCATGCTGGAGTACCAATAGATGCTCACTAAACTCAGTAAGAAAGGTGGGTGTTGTTAACTGCAGGAGTTTGTTTTTGTTTTTGTTTTTTGCTTTTGCTGAGGGGGTTTTGGAAGTTTTAGGCTAAAGCTGCATTGCTACAGGTAATGTCAGAGAAGTGGGGTGTTGCCAGTCATGGCTCACCTTCTCCACCACTCTCCCTAAAACGAGGTTGAACAAATATTTTTAAATTTTTTATTGGAAGGAACAGCATATTGTTAGCCTATCTGGTGTTCACTTGTCTTGGTTCAGCCCTGTATTCAAAAGGCATTGACTAAATATTATTTGTTGTGAAAATGAACAATGATTATTCAGAAAAATATTTTTAGTTTTCAGAGATGTTTTCACCATTATTTTGTGTTTGACAGAATATTAGTAATCCTCCAAAGAACTAATATGCAAAGAGACTAATCTTATTCTTCCTACTTTGAAGTTGGGAGGGAAATTAATGCCTGCAATGCCCTTTATACAATATTGAAATCCAGACCATTTGAGCAATTTCTCCAAATCATACAGTAAATTCCAGAGGAAGCAGGGACCTGTGCCGAGATCATTTGACTAAGGAAGGTGTCCCATTCTCTATTCAGAAGACTAACTGATACCTAATACCCCATTTTCATTCAAAGACAAAAATAAAACTATGAAATAAGTTAAGTCTATTAGTCTTTCAACTAAGTCAGAAAAAAACTACCTCTACTTCCTTCTTTCTAGAATGATAAATTCTTCAGCTCAACGGAGTATATCATTCTGGGGTGATTACAACAGATTCTCTTTCTATCGATAGACATATAATCACCTCTTTTACAGGCAACTGTTGGAGGAAAAAATGTTAACTATAGGATGATTTTGTGTAAAAATAATTAGATATGTACCGTGCTTAAACCAATATGGCTACGAGGGTAGATGGGACTTAAACTCCTGCTTCGACATCGACTTACAGATCGCACCGAATTCCACTAAAAAGAGAAAGAAAAATAGTCAACAGTTTGTGAACACTCACATCACTTAAAACAATAGGCCTATCCCACAGATCAGGAGGTTTTGCTAATGCGATTACACTTGTGCCTTACTGGTCATCAGCATGAGGTACGCTCCTTTCATTTCCTATAGCCATTCCATTATTTGACAATAACTTTGAAATAGTTCTCAAAAAAAAAAAAAAAATCCCACAGTGAACTTTGGTACATAACTCATGGGTGCTAATAGGATTTTGTTTTAATGAAGAAGTTGTTAGAAATTACATTAAGGTTCCAAGTGCTGGAGAATGTAAGCTCCCTGTGGGCAGGGATTCGTGTCTGTTTTGTTCACTGCTGAATCCTCAGCACCTATACAGTTTTTGGGTCATAAATAACTACTGACTAAATAACTATTGTTGAATAAAATGAACTAATGAATGAGTGACTGAGTGAATCACCACTGCTGCCTATCTACTCTCTAACTAAATTAATGAAGAAGAAGAAAATTATATCCACTATAATGAGATTTCATTAGTAAGGCCTTCTTTAAAACATCCCTTCATTCAACCCTTTCCTTTTCCAAGTTCTTCCTTTTAGGGTATTCTCATTTTGTTTTAGGAGCTTAAGCTTGGGCAGATGTTGGTGATATGTTTGATAGGAGAGAAGGAAATTAAAAGGCAATTGCTATTTGATGTAGAACATAAGACTAGTAGCTATTTCCTCTCTCTTCCAAACTGTACTGCAGACAATCTACAATAAGTGTTTCTTAATAGAGGGTAATTATTGTAGGGTCAAGCAGCATGTTTTATGAGCTCATTCATTGTAGAACATGAGTAGTTGTCAGATCAACACAACCCAATTTCTATGGGCTCAACTTTCATAGCACAAAATATTTTATTGATACAATTAGCTACAGCGGGTCTGTTTAAGTTGCAACAACCCTTTTTGTTGCAACTTAAACAGCCCCCTGTAGCTAATTGTATTAAATTCTTTTAAAAGACACTACTCCCTTTCTCCACTAAGTGGGAGAAAAGCTGCCATGAAGAACATCCCTATTCTCCAGTTGGAAGAGAACAGGAACTGAGAGCACCCAGATGGAGGCTTTGCTGTGGACTGAGGAGCTAGCTTCGCTTCAGAATTTCCTTAATTCTTTCTCAGAATGGCAGTGTAAAAATTCCGTAATGTTCACTGTACAGAATATCCAAGCACCTGGGGCCACCAACGCCAACACTCAATCCCCATCGCAACACACATGCTCACACACTTGCAGATCTAAGACTCTATTTTGAAGGCTGCCCAGTTATTTAACATGTTCAAACATTTACAACTAATGTAAAAATTGATCATCTCCTCTCTTCCCCACCTCCTCTGCCCTCTTTTTCTCCAACCCTCCCCACTCTACACATCATACTAAGGAGAGAAAAATGAGGCACATCCATCGTTTCCCAAAATGGAGAATTGTCAGTAAAATTTTGGCAACTGTTTCCTGAAAGTTAATCGATCACTTTTAAATGCTTAGAGTTACACCGGGTCTCCAATAAGATGATTTTAAAGGCTTTCTGCTTATAATAGCATAATATTTCTAAGATGGAAGAGACAAATATGACTAATTCCATCTTAGAAATAAATAAAGCAATAGGCAAAGAAATCACTGCCAGGATATTAAGAGGAATCAGAGACAAATCAAAGAAAAAATGTATTCTTTCCCAGCCAGTCCCTTTCCTCTCCTTTGTATGAAATCTTATCAAACAACTCTTTATGAACTTCTTTTATAGAATCTCTGGGTTTATAAATGTTCTCGAACTTGTGAATCAAACACTTGGGATGAATTGTCACTATGCAAGGCCACCGTACAAAAGCCCCTCTCTTGGTGACAGCTTCTCCTTTCATAATGACAGTGTCATTCTCCATGAGAGCAGGCCATACATGATAGAAGACCAAGGGAGCAGTGTAATCGGAGTCATAGCTGCGACGGTACCTATTTTGAACACACAAAAGGAGAAAGAGAAGTTAAGCAATTATGTAGCATAATTGGGCAAGGGGACATCAGTGTCAATTTTCATTTTGATTATGCTTAGATCGAGATAAATATGGATCCTGATACTGTTATTAAAGAGATGGCTGTGGGCTCTTAGAAAAGGAACCAGTGATAACAAGGACCCAGCATGGACTCACTAAGAATAAGTCATGTCAGACTAATCTTGTCCTTCTCTTCTCAGGATTACAAGAGTTGCAGTCCAGGGAAATGCTAGAGACCATGTAAGTCCCATAGGCTTCCTAAAAGATTTCTCATGCTATGTTTGTGGACAAAATAAGAGAAGTATAAGTGAGTGATTAACTTAAGTAGGGCAGGGTTGGAAACTAGTTGAATTATCATCTCCAAAGAGGGGTAAATAATAGGTCAATGAGAACGTGAATAAAGGTGCAAAGTGCTCCCTCTCCATCCTGTGATAAATCAACATATTCAGCAATGATTTGCATGAAATACAGAAAAATTGTTCAAAGATGAGGAGTGTGGAGTGCCAGGAAAAAAAAAACAGATGATGGTACCAAAAAGAACAGCTCAATCGGTGGGAACAATAAGCTGATTCTAATAAGATACAATGTAATGTGGATACCTATGCGGTTCTGCAATTAAGTCTAAAAAGCATTTAATTGCACAGGTAGAAGTGACAAATGGCTTAATCACAGAACAAGTGGAAATATAATAACGATTTCAGTTGAACTCAAAACGAGTGAACAGTGTTATATGACTGAAAAAAAAAAAGAAAAACTACTACAAATTAGCTGAATTAATAGAGAATAAGAATGGAAAGCATGTTGGTCCCACTAGACTGGTCAGTTCATACCAGGGGACTACATTCCATGTGGACACTTTCTTAAAAAGGAATGCTCAGAAGAGCACAGAGCACAGGCCAAGGAAACCAATCTATTTGTCAGGAAGTCTCAACCACATTCATATGGAAAAATCCTAAAGCCGTGAGGCCAGGAGGAGGAGAATTTAAATAATTGCTTTTAAATGTGTGGTAGGCTGCCCAAGTAAATAAGTAAGTAAGTAAGTAAGTAAGTAAGTAAATAAATGATAAACAAAGTGATTTCTTTCCCAGCAGGCTGAGTTAGCACTAGAAGAGCTGGAGGTGAGTTTTGGCCTTGCCCCTGCCCCAAAGCTTAATTCCAAGGAGTTGGGCTAGGCCAGATTATTGACTCCCTTGTGCCTTACCTGGACCCTGGAGGCCAGAGTGGGGCTGCAGACAGCAGCAGTCAAGAGCAGGTCTGCAGCCTCCTACCA